TCACCTATTATGTTGAATCACCCTTGTCTAATTTTGACTATTATTGTTAGTTTGGATCTATAATTGCATCAGACAAATGTAAAGACTGTCTTTATGAACAATTTCACCTTCATCACAAAAACTCGTTTAATCTCTTAAGATCACATGCATTTTATAAGCTCTGTTACTTATGGATCATTAGTCTCTCCCTTCCACATCAACAGTAGATTAATTGTGATGTACTCCTTCTGTTCACTTTTACTTGTTATATTTAGATTTGACACATTCATTTGAAGAACAATGATTGACATGGTTATTTTACCCTACTATCCCTATTAAAAGACGTTTAGTATTATGGGGTTAGTAATTAATGCTAAGGACAAAATTATATATATTTTTAAAATAATGGACAAATAAAAGTGAACCGAGGAAGTTTCTCATATTCTTTAAATTTATGCAATATATACGAGTCCACTGTAGAATTGCTCTAAAGTGGTTACTGTTGATCAAATAAATGCAAATAACATACACACTTTTCTTAATAATGATGGTATTCAAACTAAGCTTGTTGGTTAATGCATCAACTACTTGCTGCTAGCTCCGTCTCATGATGGGCGAAGTTAAGTTAGAAAGTTGTATGACAGGTGGTAACTATCTTGTACAGTTCGGGGATAATCGGCGTACTCCAATCAGTGAGGGGGATCTTTGGCTCTATTGAACATACAGGGAATTGGAGGTAGCATTCTATCGATGTCAAGTCATTGACTGGTTTCTTCAGCCCTTTTTCTATGTGTTGGTGTATATGACCGACATAAGACTCGACTTGTTAGATATTACGGAGGATCTTACTAAAAGTATTTGTCTCATACTACTTGATCACTTACTAAATCAGGATAGAATTAATTATGTTCCCCCCATTTTCCCATACAATTAATATGGGGCAAAAAGCTTAAGTATACAACTTAAGTACCTTAATTACTACTATATGACAATAGTTTTTTTTTCCACCTATATAGCAATAGTTTTTTTCAAAACTAGAATTTCTATTTTTTTTATTAAAAAAAAAACGTAGAAATAGTCAGCAATGATTATCTCTAATCCCTGATTTTCTCCAATTATTTTACCTTCTACGATTTACTCAGATTTGTTATATATTTCTCTCATGAAAGAAGGTTTTTAACAAAAATAAAACTCTCTTTCTACTCATCTGATCGACTATTCAAATATGAATACCAACTATTTTTGAATCCTAATTCAACACAACGGATGGTGGGACACATCAGGTATTTGAACAAATAACGATTGAATTGGTATTTTTTCGTGATTATGTTAATATATTTATGATTTTTTTCTTATGATCGTTTTTCTTGCAATTTGTATTAGGTCGTTTTGGTATTTGTTCTTTTGTTTAAATTGTATGTTCTTGTGGTTAGTATAAAATTCACCTGCCTTGGTAAATGGTCAGGTGGAACGATACTATTTTTAAATTCTTGAATAAATAATAAATATTATTAATTATTTTTGGTATATTATTAGTTTTAATTGATAGTGAACATTGTGGAGATGATGTGGTGAAATTGATATTCTATATTATGTTTTTTTTTTATTAATATCATTATTCATCGTTTATTTTTAGTGTGAGTGTTATACATTAGGTTTTATAGAAAAATAAATTTTCGTTAGATTCAGTGAACATTTTTTGGTATAACATTAGGTTTAATTGATTAGTGCACTTGCGTATCTTGTTGTCCATAGATAAACACCATAATTCATAATTACTTTTTGTATGTGTTCTGGTGTAATTGATATGTTGTAGGCCTTATATAAACACAATAAATCGATAATTTATTTTGGTGTGTGATCGGATATTATTGGTATTTTTTAGACCTTATATAAATATCAACTTCAAGTTAATATTTTGGTACATCTATTGGTGTATTTAGTTGTCTGATTTGGTATAGATAATAAATTGAAGAAATATTAAACGTCTGATATAGTAAATATTTTTGGTGTGAATGTTATACATTAGATCGTATAGAAAATTCAACTTTGGTGGTTATTAAATGTCCAATTCAGTGAATACTTTTTGGTATAATATTTGGTATAATTGATTAGTGCACTTACGTATCTTTTGTCTATAGAAAAACACAATAATTTACAAATTATTTATGGTATGTAATCAGGTATAATTGGTATATTTTGGACCTTATATAAACACCAATATCAAAGTTAATATTTTGGTACATCTATTGGTGTATTTAGTCGTCTGATTTGGTATAGATAACAAAGTTGAAGAAATATTAAATTGGTTATAATGCTTGTTGATTTGTGATGGTAGATTATTATGTGTAACATGATAGTGTAGATGGTGTAGATGATTTGGTGTAATTGATAATGTGTATTATGTTTTTATAAACACCAGAAGTCATATCAAGTGCATTATGTAGTTTGTTTTTGGGTGTTTAAATACAATGAAATTGTTGGTATTTTATTGGTAAATGATTTGGTGAAAATGTTGATCTATACAACTAATTTAGGTCTCGTCAATCGTTTTGAAATTTTCATGGTGATTTTTTTGGTTCATTTGTTGGCGTAGTTGATAGTGTATTTTATGTTGTCCAAAATTATTTTGGAGATTGATTAACAATAAATTATAATGTTACACAGGTATAAGTACTTGGATTACAATATAGAAGGAGTAATATATGACGCAAACACCAAATACGATGGCTTAGTTACTACAAATGCTTCCCAATTGGGTGTGGACACGACCATTTTAGAGTTAGAACTTAAACATGTCGTGAGCGTTCCATCTCCACCAATGAAGATTCATAATAATATCCGCCTCAGAATTAACATTGGTGTTTTCTTTTTGTTTTAATTTTATTTAAACAAGTATGTAGTTGAATCTTTTGTGCTTTTGTTGAAATTTAGATGTTTTTAATGAATGTTAATTGCAGTTTAATCCAATATTAGTTAATGTTGATTGGCTAATTCGTATTATTGGTGTATTGATAATTATATCATTGTTGTTTGCTTGTTTGTATAATTCATATTTTTGTGAAAAAATTACTGTAAAAACTGATATTGGTGTTATTTTTGTAATATTGATGAAATATTCGAAAGTGATTGACTAAATCATATTAAGGCTCACTTCATAATATTGGTGTAATTGTTGTTGTAACATTGGTGATGGCATATTGACTTCCAATTACACACATTTTGACAAATATAAATACAAACAAGTAAATGTATTTGTCAGTTCATTGAACACAATATAAGCACCAAAATGATATATTTTTCATAATATTGGTGTAAAATGTATGCAAATAAGTGGTGGTAATTGAACACAAAATAATAAAAACTGATCGAAAATACCACTTAAAGTGACATCCAAAAGTGTAACAAAAACATTTTGTAAAGAACAAAAATTCAACAGCATATTTCATAAAATTAAGTGTTAACAGAACATGCTCCTTTTAAGTCCTCCCCCTTTCGAATTAATTTCCGCATCTTCCAATTGGTTCACTTTCACTAACCGTACCAGTATCAATCTTCATAATTTTTTTTTGGGGCATCCTAACCATATTGATCGGAATATGAAAATAGAATATTGAGTGATGAACTTAAGAGGAAATACAAAAATGGTGCAAGTGATGAACTAATGAGAGAAGTGATGAAATATGAAAATGATCAATATGAACGGAAGAGAGAAAAACAATGGTTAAAATTTCTCTCAATGAAAACTGCACAGGGGATAATGAAGTTTAGAAAAGAGTGAATTGTTGGAAACCTAAAAGACTTTTACTTTATATTGATTGAATAAAAAAGGAAAAAAATAAAATAATATCTGAAAGGTAGAAACGTGTGTATTATGAACTTTAATTGGAGAGATAAATAAGGCACATAATCCCAAAAATAGGAGAGAAGAAAATCGAAATTAAATAATTTAATTAAAATAAAAAATAATTAAACAGTTATGTTGGTAATTTATAAACTACATTTGTAATTAAATAAAAGTATATGCATATATTGTACATTAAAATCTTAAGTAGTATATTTCTGTAATTTTCACATTTGGGGGTTATGACTTTGAAAGTTTAAATAAATTTTGAAGATCCAAATTTCTTTTTTTAAGAGGCTAATTAATATGAACAAAGGGGAAAATAGTAAAATTGATCAATTTATTAATAATTTTTTAATAACCATATAAAATAAAAAATGTCTACGGAGAAAGTATCGCTCACCAAACACTTAAGTTTAGGCAGATGGGAAAATGTGATAGAATATGAATATTAGTTCCCAAGGTAGTAATGCCCCACTAATCCATGGCTAAGCCTTACCCTTTGGCAAAATTCAGCACAATATCAACAACAGGATATATTCTTTCAATTAAACAAAATAGGATTATTAGTAAAAAGAAAAAGGGATTTCAATTTTTAAACATCATTTTTGGAAATTGAAACTTGAATATTGGAACATTCCTGGTGTCTGGAGACTAGGTAGGACCTAACCACACATGGGCACACACTTTCTTCTATCTGTCTTTAATGTTGTGATTCGATTGATCTTGAAACCCCATTTAGCATCATTGCTAGTGATTGGACATGCCTAAAAGAATGATTCTACCCATGTTTGCTTTGTGGATTTGCAACATGCTGCCTTTTTTAGTTCTTTAAGGACTCATTTGGCCAGAAAAAAGTAAAAAATTAACATGATCAAATGAGTCTCATATTATTCTTTCCAAAAAGTATGGTCGAACATAACTTCAACTCCAACATTCAAACAAATAAAAGTGAATCTGTAACTTGTGTTTTGGTGCTCCCAAAACAGTACATGTCCTCAGAATTTTACTTCGAATTCTACATTTTTACCTTCTAAACTACACCTCTTCGTCTGACAACTATACATAAGTAACATAATTCTTTGTGATCTAAAGAAGACTGCTGTATACCATGAAAAGTCCAGCCTCCCCCTGCCCCCCCCCCCCCCCCCCCCACGCTTACCCCCCCAAAAAAAAAATCATACATAGATTGTGAAATATTCAAATACCAAATTTTATGAGGCTTCCAAGATAAGTGGGCAGGATATATTAACTTTCGTCTCGAGAAGTTCCTGGGAAGTAGTGCAAGGAACAACTAGAATGCAATCTCTTGAAGTATTTGAAGTGTGTTCTGATGAACCTGAAACACAATTTAAAAATTATATAGGTTAGCTATTTGTCAAGAAATGATGTCGAAAACAATCAGCCATTGATAGCAAAGCAACTTTCTAAATGAAATGCTACCCCAAACAAAGATTAACAAGAGTGTACCCATTCAAGATGCTGTGCTGTAACTCCAGAGACATTTCCTCCATATATGCCACCTAACACCTACAATGTCGCAATAAGATGCGGTAAGATATTATAATCGTCTCATGCTTCTGGAGATCGAATCAGAAATGCCAACTATGTCCAATAACAAAAATCTTATGTACTAGAAACTCTTACCTTAGAAACTGTTTCAAGAAACATGCCAGGACGCACAGGATGTGGTTTTCGCCCACTTACACTTGCCTGGGAGCAAAAGAAAATTATAGTTGAAAAGGCTTTTGGAATTCTCAAAAAGTAGTGACATCATCTCAGAACAAAATCTCACCCTTCCTGCAATTCCACCAGCAGCACCAACTTCATCATCCGAACTGTCTGCACCTTCTTCTTTACCAAGCATCACGTCTTTTATCATGTCGCGTACTGTTTTCCCTGGTCTTAGGGAAACAAGTTTAGTTAAAAAGTTCACCTGCATGACCATAAAATGCTAACGTTAGTAATCAAAGCAGAAGCCGTACAAAAACCATTCAGGTGGTTTATTTTTCACAGATTACAGTCCACCGAATTAAAATGTGACATGGGATATATATGTTTAAAGCAACAAACCTCTGATTCAGGAAGAATATTAAGGCCACGATCATTTCTTTCGTCAAGTATTCCACCTCCCATCATGTTCCTAGCTTCTTCTCTGATTAAAACCAACCTTGCTAGTAACTTCCTGTCAGGGATAACAGAACGAGATTCCATTGTCTGCAACAAAGACAGCCACAGACAATCCATAATTTTACCGGTGAACACTAGCGTGAAGGATTCCTTCAAATCGTAATAATATTTTTGAAGTCTGTTGATCTGATAAATGATTTTTAGGGTTCAGAAATCACATTACATGATGTTATTTTATTACTATTACTTAAGCATGATGAAACTATACTTTTTTTTCACAATGGAACATGAGATGATTCTAGAGCATGAAAGCAACGAACGAAACCTAATAGTAAAAGGAGCATCCGGACTAAATTATTACTATGCAGTATCCACTATTGGATATTACTTCCAACGTGATTTTTAAATATTTAAATTTATTTCTAAAAAAGGATACAATCGGAGCCCAAGGGTGTGACCTAGTGGTCAATCAATTGGGTTGTGGACTCGGAGTTTTCAAGTTCAAATCCTAACTGAGACAAAAATACTAGGTGACTTTATTCCATTTGTCATAGCCTTGTGGACAATTATCTGGTACCTGTTTGTTGCTAGTGGGAGGTGACAAGTATGCCGTGTAATTAGTCTAGGTGCATGCAAGTTGGCTTGGCCACCACAGTTATAAAAAAAACAAAAATAAGGATAAAATGGATATTATATCTAAATCATGGAAAAGGTCAAAACAGATAACGAAGAATAAAGTATATCACATATATTGAATTTGAGAACACATAGAAGTTAAAACAGAAGTCAAAAGAGAGTAATACAAATAAGTTAGCCGAAAGCTGTAACACCATTTGGCACTTCCATGAGGGATTTGTTTGATTATTGATGACTGAAAACTGACAACTCTAAAGTGACACGAAAAAATTGAAGTCCAAACAAGATGATTTCCCTATGCCTTTTGGCAGGTTAGGTTTCCAACTGAAACCCATGTACTCCCTCTGTTTCAATTGGTTTGACTTACTTTACTTTTTAGTGTGTTTCAAAAAGAATGTCTCTTTTCTTTTTTGGCAACTCTTTTTCTAACTTTCCACATGACATGTTTAAGACCATAAGATTAAATAACATTTTGGTATATTCAACATATTTTAGTTTAATGCCACAAGATTCAAAAAAGTCTTCTTTACTTTCTTAAACTCTCTATCAGGTGAAAACCACACAAACAAATTGAAACGGAGGGAGTATCATTTTTGGTCTGATAACCAAGTAAGATGGTTTTTGTTAAGACTTGACATTACCACGACTTGCGTTTTTCTTTTTCAATTTTATAAAAAATTAATATTTCAGTAACTTGAGAACAAAAATAAATAATGAATTCAGCATTGAGCACAAGTTTCTTACAGCTTACATATAACCAGCATCAACACTACAAATTGTCTGACCAAGATGGCTGAGCAGAAGTTCTTTAACATCACTATATGAAAATGCTGACCTAACCATTTTCCAAAATGTGTTACATAATGCATAGTGCCTTATGGTCTCTACAATCAGAGTGTTCCATACCCTGTAAAGTTTGTGGTTTCTAATAACCTGCGTCCTAAGGGACCCACAGTCAAATGAAACTGATGCAAACAAATTATCTAGTTAGAACTTAGATCCCAACAACTCGATCGTCTCCTGACTATGCATGTACATTAAGAGCCTACCTCCAGAATATCATCCGCTTGGTTAGCTATATCATTCAAATTTGCCCCAGGAAGATGGACTTTTGTTCCATTCTCACTTTGAAATACTCCACCACCACCAGCTACTCGCCTGAGCAATTCATGTCTGCTTTCTTTTTGGGGAGTTCTACAGAGCAGGCCTACGACTTGAACCTAGAAAACATACAAATCCAACTCAATGTCAGAACAAAGACTAGAGCAACAATGCTGCTAATAATTTAGTCATTCAGCATACTCACATGAGGGGGGCACTTCTTGGTAAGATGGGATAACACAGTCTCCTTGATAACTTCCAAGAGTGATTTGCGCTAAAAGAAACAATTCTGTTATTAACATACCTTCCCAGAATATGTCTTGTATCAATGCAGTACTCAACAGGAAACAAATAGGCATGAACTAGGCACAAAATGGAAACATAAAAAAAAGACTATGATATGGATCAGATATCTGGCTTGATATCTAAATCATATAGCATTCAGTCTAGCCAACAATCAAGGGGAATTGATTACGGAGAAGGTTTCCTTTCGTGCCTTTAATTCTTTGATTATCGCTTCTTCAATCCTGATGCTCTTGGAAATTTTTTTTTTAAGAAATAAATTTACCCATATGATGAAAAAGGCTAAAACGAGAGAAATCAACATTCATGCACACAGCCTGACTATTTACTAGAGAAATCGGTATCAATAAGTTTCTGAAATGAGACACCTTTTACTTCATTACATCTTGTACTAGGCAGAAATTACACGAAGACCATCAACAACAACTATTTCATACTAATCCATCTCCAAAGGCAGCACACAAATTATCTTACCACACAAAATGTACCAGAAGTGTCGACAGTGAAAACTAATTAATGAATTGCTCATGGCAAAAAGATGATAGGTGAGATCATGAATCACGCATACTGAAGTCAAACTATGATTCCACAAACAAAAGTACTGCTTAAGGGAAAAGAACGAGGAAAACTAAAAAGATAAGACACCTGAGCGTAACTCAACCCAAAAGCTAGCTCATGAGGGGAGGTTTGTCCAAGTCCATATAAGGAGACCAATTTCCCATCCCCTCTACGGATGTGGGAATTCTAAACAAAAACAAAACGAAAAACAGATCAGGAACCTTAAATAATACTACCTTGTCATCCTGGTCCTTGTCAGCAATTTGGATCATGTAATCAAGGGCCATCATGAACCCGGACTCCATTTCATCAACTCTTTTCCCAATCACTCCTTGTGCAGCCAATTGCACTGCTACCTCCTCAGATGCTTCATCCATCTTCATATCTTCCAACTGTTTCATACATATGTATCCAACAAAGGATATTGAAGAGATGAATAACTACTCCAGCTGACATACTGAACTAACCACATAAACGACTTGAACGAAAAAAAAAAGAAAAAAAACGAGGGAAAGTTCTATCTTTTTATTACTTTCATATTTGTATCCATACCATTATCCATTTCAACATCACACATTAGTAGACAGGTTAAGCTTCATTTCTAGGGTTACTAGCTATCAAGAATTAAGACCACACCCTTCGGATAACAATTCAGATACTTCAGAAAATTCCTAAGAGAAGCACATTCACATGGACTGTGAAATCCTAGTACCTCTAATATTTAACATAATCAACAATTAAACAGGAACAAATTCGATGAACACCCAAGGGTTTTGGGTTTAAGTTTTCTAGGAATCAAAGATACAGAAGAGTTGTAGTTATTATTTAAAAGTATAACACCACAAAGACAAACGGAATAGAATACAATTAAGGGAAAACATACTAGCTTGGCCATTTCTTCAAGGACGGAGGTAACTTGTTCACCACCTTTAAGAAGAACTTGATACTGAGAAGTATCAAAATCTCCAATTTCAGGTCCACTATTTTCCATTCTTCCATTTTGAGCTCCGAATTCCTCCGCCAAAAATCCTGCGCCGACCTCGTAACTCGTGCATAATGCCGATAGGTTTAGTCTGGAGGATGGCTTCAGCTGCAATGAATACTGATTGGGGATTTCTAGTTGAAGAAAATAGTATGGTGATGGAGTCGAGTAACGAGATAGAATTGCAGGAGCAGCTCCACAGAAAATGGTAGGAATGGACAGAAATGCCATGGATGAAATGACCAAGGACGGAATTAGAGTTTTTTTTTGCGGGGGATGGAGATTGTTGGAGAGGTTCCGATTACAATATCACCTAATAGTTCTATTTTCCTTAAAACTATATTTGATGCACTAAAAATATTTTTTTTTTCTCTTTCCTAATCCGATGACATATCAATTATTATATTACTAATAAAATTATCCGCAGCTCGCACGTGAATTCAATATCACATAATTTATAACATAATATTTAAAACATATCAGTCATTAAAACTTAAACAGTATATTATCTTGAGAAAATGACATAAATAGTCTTTTAACTATAGGAGTAGGTCTAAAATGGTCCCTTAACTATACACTTAACGGATTTAGTCCTTTAACTATTCAAAAACTTATCAGCTTTGGTCCCTTAACTATATATTTACCGAATTTAGTCCCTTAACTATAAACTTACCGATTTTAGTCCTTTAAGTATTCAAAAACTTATCAGGTTTGGTCTTTGTCCATTTTTAATACAAATAACTTAGGTTTATATTTACAGAAATATTCGTGAAATTAAATCTTTAACCCATATTTTAAGTTTTTTCTCTATCCCCGCCCTTTTTTCTTCAAACCACTCTTATGAAAATAACAATAACGTCAACTATTCAAAATAAAATTAATGAGGAATGAAGATATAAGTCCTAATTTTATTAATGGAGCATAAAATTAAGCATATAATTGTTGTTAATGACTTGAATCTGCACTTGAATATGCTAATTAGTGCGGATTTTATTTAATTTACTCAATTTTCTTTACGTAAAATAAATTGAATAGAATAATAAAATTGATCTATTTAAAAATAATTGCAAATCTACCATTTTATAAATTGCAATTTCTAAAAAATTAAACAAATTCTGTTCAATGAAGTCGTTGGAGTAAAAACTTTGGATCTAACGGGTAGTAATTTTTTTCTTCTTATAATAAAGTTTAGCATATTCAAGTCATTAGTACCAATAAATATGCTTCATTTTATCCTCTTTTGAATAAAATTATGATTTATATTTTCTTTCCTAGTGAATTTTATTTTAAGTCGTTGAGGTTAAGGTTCTTCGCATAAGGTTAATTTGAAGAAAAAGTAGTGAAGAGAGAGAAACAACAGAAAAAATTGCTAAAGGATTTAATTTCTCGAGGCATGAATTTCGTTAAGATAAACCTAAGTTATTTGTATTAAAAAAATGGACAAAGATCAAATCTGATAAGTTTTTGAATACTTAAAGGACTAAAATCGGTAAGTTTGTAGTTAAAGGACTAAAACCGATAAGTGTATAGTTAAGAGACCAAAACTGATAAGTTTTTGAATAGTTAAAAGACTAAATCCGTTAAGTGTATAGTTAAGAGACCATTTTAGACCTACTTCTATAGTTAAGGGACTATTTATGTCATTTTCTCATATTATCTTACATATAAGATTACGTAGTAACGAACATTAATAATTTTATAATTTATCCTTTTGCTTCCAGGAAGTGTTACTATTTGATATTTTTGGGGAATCAAATGAACATTAACTTAAGATATTAAAATTTCTAATAAATAAATAATCATTGGTGAAAGGATAAATAAATTTTAAAAGGCTGAAAAAAATAAACAAATATTCTAGTTTTAACGTGTAGAAAGTTCATAATTTAAATGTATCATAAAAAATTATTAAAATGGAAAATTAAAGGAAGAATGTATCATATTGGATAACAATTCAACTTATCATATATATTTGAAAGAGAAAAATATTACACAAAACTATTCAGTTTGTTTGGGTGCTTTATGTATGAATGTGAAAGGTCTTCTCTCATAAATTATTCTAATGTTGAAAGGTCTTCTCACCTAAAAGGAATCAAAGTTAAGGAGTTATTCTAAGTATGATGCAAGCGGCGATTACCCATGACATCTAATGAAAGACAAGAGGCAGTTACCCATGTCACATGATATAAGGACAAGAGGCGATTACCCAAGTCCCTTAAAGAAAACATGAATAAGAATAATAGATATTCCGTGGGAGTTATGCTTAGCACCGAGTGGACAAGTGGCGATTACCCATGTCCCATAAGCTATGTGCCAACATAGGAATGTCTATATCGACATTAGCTAGTGGACCCACATAATCTAGAAAGTTCATATTCTTACCTTGGCAAGTAGGACACCCCTTTTCGGTGTGGGAGACACTAGATTCCATGTTAATAGCTCACATAGTCTTACATGTTGGGTAAATGTAATTCTCCCACATTAATGAATCAAGGTTACTCCAAGGAGTATGTCACATGTCTTTAAGATGAATTTTATTTGCATTGTCCATGTTTTATGACTTATGTCTTCTTAACCTCCTTATATATATGTTTTAGCTTGGTCATTGCATCTCATGAAAATATCTCCTTTTAAGCATGTTTTCAAATGTTTTATGCATGACTATCATACTTGGTACATGTTTGTACTAACACATACTCTTGCCTACATTTCCCCTAATGTAGGATCTGACCTTACAAATTCACACTTATGTGGCTAGTGATCTCAAATAGAAGATTGAAGATTGGTGAGTCCTCATCACTTGAGGACCGAGCTTGATTTCCTTTTTGTCTTTTCTTTCAGTTTTTAGACTTGATGTACGGGCTGCGTCCCGATCAATCTTATGTACCCAGATGACTTTGAGACGATGTTTAGACTTTCATTTTACCCTATAAAACTTTTCTATGTTGAAACTGTCTTTTAAATCTTTTATATTCTATTATCTTGTATGATAAATGCTAAGTGGCTTGTATGCGGCCTTTTGGGGTCTTATACGTCATGTTACGCCTAGGGGCTGGCTACCTTGAGTTGTGACAAAATTGGTAATTAGAGCACAAGGTTTAGAAAGGTCCAAGGAAGTCTCATAAGCCACGTCAAGTAGAGTCTTGTTCATGAGTGTGAAGCGTACCACATTTATGAATAAGAGGCTATAAGATGTTAGGAAACTCCACTTCTTTCATTATTCTAAAGTTGTGCGATAGAGTTTAACTCTATAATGTCTCTCTCCTAATCCCTATCCGATACTCTACAAGATATGGCCACTCGAAGGGCATATGCTAGAAGGAATGCGAGAGAGAATGTGAATCAAGAGGCTCCTCTTCAAGCTTCTCAAGTTCTGGTCGACCATTTGGCTAAGCAAGTGATTAATACAGAGTTTAGGGTTGCTTTTCAAGTGTTGGTTCAAGCCATGACGGCCCAAACCAACAGGGAGGTTGTGGATCTTGTGAACTTAAATATGGGTACGACGACATCTAGAGTGAGGGATTTCACTAGAATGAATCCTCCGGAGTTTCATGGTTCTAAGATTAAGGAAGACCCTTGAGAGTTTATTGATGAGGTTTACATGGTGTTGATGATCATGGGAGTAACACTGGTGGAAAAGGCAAAGTTGGACGCTTACCCACTTAAGAGTGTTTCTCAAGTATGGTTCAACCACTGGAAAGAAGGGATAATAGTTGATGCGGGTCCTTTCGATTGAGAAAAGTTCAAGGTTGCTTTCCTTGATAGGTTATTTCCCCTTGAGAAGAAAGAGTGAAATGTGCTTGAATTTATCAACCTTTGTCAAAGAAATATGAGTGTAAAGGAATACGCTTTGAAGTTCACACAGCTGTCTAGATATGCTCCAACTATGGTTGCCTATCCTAGGGCAAGGATGAGTAAGTTTATTTCGAGAGTTTCTGAGATAGTGGTTAAGGAATGTCGTATCGCTATGCTTGTCAATGATATGGACATTTCTCGTCTCATGGTTTATGACCAACAGATCGAAGTGGAGAAACTTAAGGAAGGGTCTAGGGAAGAGAAAAGGGATAAGATCGGTGATGGTAACTTCTCATACTCGAGGTTCGGTGGACAATGTCGTTCTAAGTTCCTACAAAGGTTTTCTGTCCAAGGTTCGTCTAATGCTCCTCCTAAGTTCAACAAAGATAGGGTGTCTAACCCTAAGACTCAGGGAGGAAGTGGTAGTAGGTCTTCATTGCCTACTTGCGCTAAGTGTGGAAGGAAGCATGATGGTAGATGTCTTGCGAGTTTCAATGCTTTCTTTGGTTGTGGTAAGATGGACCACAAGATAAGGGATTGTCCCTCAGTTGCTAAGAATGAGGGAGATAGTCGTCGACAGGCTCAACCTAATCTTTCATCCGGTCCTAGTGGAAGTCAGAAGCAAAACATATTTTATGCACTTCAGACTCGTGGTGAACAAGAGGGTTCTCCCGACATGGTTACCGGTATGTTGAAAGTCTTCCAACTTGATGTTTATGCTTTACTTAACCCCGGTGCTACATTGTCTTTTGTGACGCCATATGTGGCTATGAGGTTTGATATTCTTTCGGATGTGTTGTTAGATCATTTTTTGTCTCTACTCTTGTTGGTGATTCTATTGTGGTTAAGAGGGTCTATAGGAAGTGTCTCGTCTCTTTACTCCATACAGTCACTCATGTTGACCTTGTAGAGCTTGATATGCTAGATTTTGATGTTATCCTTGGGATAGATTGGTTACATGCATGTTATGCTTCTATTGATTGTAGAACCCCTGTAGTCAAGTTTCAGTTTCCAAATGAACCTATCCTAGAGTAGAAAGGGGGAAATTCTATGCCTAAGGGTTAGTTTATCTCTTGTATTAAAACTAGAAAGATGATTTCGAAGGGTTGTATTTACCATCTAGTTAGGGTGAGGGATATAGATTCTGAGACCCCTACTCTTGAGTCAGTCCCCGTCGTAAATGAGTTGTCGGAAGTGTTCCCTGATGATTTACCCGGTATTCCTCTCGAAAGGGAAACAGATTTCGGTATTGACCTTCTCCTAGATATGCAACCTATTTCTATTCCTCCTTATCGTATGGCTCTGGCAGAACTTAAGGAATTAAATGAGCAATTGAAAGACTTATTGGATAAGGGTTTCATCCGACCAAGTATCTCTCCATGGAGTGCTCCAGTTTTGTTTGTTAGAAAAAAAATGGTTCGCTCCGTATGTGTATTGACTATCGGTAATTGAATAATGTTACCATTAAGAATAACTATCCTCTCCCAAGTATAGTG